TTGTATCACGTTATTTGGCCAAGTGTCGCTTATTTAACAACACAAAGCTTGCTAAGACCGAGGGCAGATGGAGAACTATTTCAATTATTGCCTCCGTCAAAAAGATCCTTTTTAGTTGAAGAATAAATGAAAAATCATTTTGACAATTAGCACTATTAGTTTATAACGAGTGGCGTATGGCTCACTAAATGCTGTATGGGCTTCTTGATTTCGCTGTCTCGAATGAGCAGATAATGTCCAGAGAAACAATCTGGTTGCATACAAAAATTGTATATTACATAATGCACATGGAATTCATATTGCCAAGTTGAAAATACTCGTTTTATGTGCAACTTGCAAACTTTCCCGATTGAGTGAGACACCCAAGAGCAATAGAAAGACCCTATGATTAATAATTACATTTTGGGTAACGACTCTTTTAACTTAGTGACGAATAAAATTATAATCTAGAATATGGACAGAAAGGAAGCTCATAAATTTTGTTTATTCGCACAAATAACATAATATATATTTATAGTGACAATGTCCTAGGTCTAAATGTCTGGAGAAGGCAAAGGATTATCTTCCATTTACAATTGGTCAGGATCTGACGACTTCCGATTGGACGATGTCCTTTTCCCATAACATAGAGGCTGGATTTTGGGTCTATCACAATTAATTATTTCATCCCCATTTTGTACATTTTGTAGAGCCAGACAAAATACCGCCTCAAATCTGCTGTGCTGGTGCTGGTACGAAATTGGTACTCCCAAATTAGGGATATTCTAATGCTTCTGCCATGCAGGTTATTTGGTCGGTGAAAGAACTGTGCTCTGTGCAATTTAGTCCGGAGTACTGTTTCAAGCATGAATGTGAATAATGCCCTGCCTTAACTGCATGCCGACAATTTCGGTGGCAATTTGTTGTATGAAAAAAGAATGCCCAAAGTCCCGGTCGAAACAGGCCTTGGTTGAGAAGACCTTCTTGCCAATCCTACAGTTTACAAGTCAGGAACGCAAAGCCAGTTGTAAAGTCGATTGTGTGTAGAAATTTATTTTCAAGAGACATCCTCACTCGTGGATACATTTCACATGTTCACCGTCGCCGAGACATGCGGCTCAACGTGTGACCAGGCGTTCGGCTGAATGGGCGGTGTAAGCTAGCTTTGTGGTTGGCCAGGACGAATTGGTACCGACTCGCTTGGATACCGTGTGCCCAACACCGCGAAAGCCGGCGGTTGCCATGCAGTTGCGCAACCCGTTCTCGGAGGGCGTTGCGCCCGACTCACACAGCCTCAGCCACGTCTCACCATCCATCTTCAGTCGAGGCCCCGCGGGTGTGACCGGACTCGGCGGGACTCCGATCAGCGGACTGACTCGGGAGGAGCGCGCGGCTCTACGGCAACAGGAGCGTCGACGTCGGCAGTTGCGAGAGGCTAAAGCCTGTTGTCGGCGTTTTCTGGCCTTTCTCTTCTCGCATATCGGCTTGTCAGTGCTGGTCGTGGCTTACACGATTCTGGGGGCTATTGTGTTTCGTCGTCTTGAGCTGGAC